AACAAAAGGTATATAATAAAAACGAGAAAAAAAAATTAATAAAATATGATAAATATTATTTATAAAAAATGGCGAAGAGACCAACCCCAAAATTTCTCACGGTAGGATAACCTGAGTCATCGAAATCGATCGAAATGAAGAAGAAGAAGTAGAAAAATAAGACCCTATATGATTTATTAATATTCAATGTTGAGAATAAATATGCAAACCCCTAGAAATAGAATAAAAATAAGGTTAGAGACGAAGATCTATAATCATCATGAATCGATTTCGGATAGAAAATGAAAGAAAAGAAATCGCGTGGAAAATTTCGTAAGTTTATTCCCGATTTTTCGCATAGGAATTTATAAAACTCTAATTATAGTATTAAATCAAACGTTTTAACGTACGAAGACGAAGCAAAGAAGCAAGCATTGACCTATTGGTATTTCGGTGAGTCGATAATTCAAACATTGTCGAGAGTACTATGTAGGTTTGCACGTGAATGTGTAACAAAATATATATATATATGTTTGCTATCATCTATGTATCCAAGTATGTAAGCATAGGTACATCACTATAAGTATGTTTTATACCTAAGATACATAATACACTTCGCGATCCTTAAATATACGTATTGATGTACATATACAAATGTACAAACACACTTGTAACATGGTTTACATATCGATGGGAGTCGTGTTTGCTTTGACGAACAATCAGGTGGTATTTGGAAGCGATGACCTCCGAAGAACGATGTGAAAATACGACCAATCGATTATCTCGCAAATAGAACGACGTCTCTTTTTTTTTTTTTTCCTATATCCATATATCATTTATGCATCTTTCTATGGGTATCATTTTGACGTTTAATATCAAAAAAATTATTTTCAGAAGTATCGAAATCCTTATACTTTTTAACCATTAACGAAAATGTACGTTTTCTTTTTCGTTAATAATTTTACTCTCTATATATATATAGAGAGAGAGAGCGAGAGAGAGTATATATATATATATAATATGTAATACATACGTATATAAACGTACAAACATACATATGCATGCATATGGTAATATTAACGAGAACGAATATTAAACCACGCCCATGTTCCTTATACAAATTCACATGCGTGCTATTGAACCATACGATTAACCACCCTTCTGTTCTCCATTCGTACCCTTCTGCCCCTTTTACCCTTATTTTCCCGGAATACTTGGAAGGTGGCCCGTGGAAACGTAAAAAAGAAAGAAAAAACAAACAAGGAAGACATAATCCCTTAAAATGGGATCCGCAAAATTTTCGTAGAGATAAAAAAAAAAATGTAAAAAAAAAAAAGAAAAGAACAAAATAAAATAAACGAAATGTTATTTTACCAATAACTTCCCTACAGTGTTGAGAAAATTTATTATATCATATATATCTAGTCGCGAGAATGTTTTTCGATCCGACAACCTACGTCCTCTTTTACACCCACGAATTGCGTGTCGTGGTGGAGTGTGTTCCGAGAAGAGAAAAAAAAAGAATAAGAAAAAAATAGTACCACAAATAAATCCAACTCGTGCAAAAAGGGAAAAGAGAGAGAGAGAGAGAGAGAGAGAGAGAGAGAGAGAGAGAGAGTGAGAAATAAAGAAATAGATAGAGACGAAATTATGGTGAGAATTTTAAAAGTCCACCAAATAAGAATTTATGTCGCCAGTTTGTATGAAATACGTAACGATCGAGTTGATCGTAAATCGGTGGAGAGTTTCTAGATAGACATTTTGAAAAGTAGATAAAGAGAGAGAGAGAGATAGATAGAGATAGAAGAAACGTAACAAGATATAAGGGAGGAGTAGTATTAGAAAGGGTGGGGATTACAAGTCGGAAGTGGTCGGCATGGATACACATACATAAATATATAAATACATATATACATGTATATACGTTCATACATATATAAATGGATGTATGCATACATATATAGAAGTGGAATAGAATCGGTGTAAAAAGGGAGGGTAAAGAAGTTCCACGAAAAGTGCACGTCCGAGTTCTATAAATATAAACAGTCATTTAAAGCCTGCAACCCTTCTGTCTGTCGCAACGGTAGGAGACAAACACACACACCCACTCTTATTCTTCTGTGTGTTATAAGTATATGTATGTACATATGCATGCATGCACGCACTTACATACTTACTTATATACACGTGTCTCGTCTACTCGCGTGCCCGTAACTTTAAAGATCAAACCCTCCTTTGGTTCGTTTGCCTACCGCGATCGATCTTTTCTTCTTTCTTTTTCTTTTTTTTTTTTTATTACTTCAGACCTATTATTTTATTCAAAGTGCAAATAATAATGATACGTTTAGGAAAAATTGAAATAATTTTGTTCATTTCCTTTAATTGTCGAACATATATGTATATATGTATTTGTATTATATATAATTGTAATATATTATTTAAAAATATAAAAAAAATAGAATATAATTCTCCTCTATTATATTACTTAAATTTAATTTGATTTTGTTTTTCTTTTTTTTATCTAATAATAAATAATTAATTCATAGTTCAAGATCAATATTTGACCACAAATATAAATGAAACTGTTAATAAACAATATATTCTAACTTTTTTTTAAATTATATACAGATATTTTTTTTCTTTAAATACGACTAAAGTAAATTGGTTTATAGAGGGTTAATACGAATACGACAAGAATGTGTCGAGTGAAATAGAGTGAAGTCATCGCCAGAATCACCGTTTCTCGTACACTCATCTTTTCTCTCCTCTTTCTCCCGTTCATTCTTGTTCATTCTTGTTCATCGTTTCTCCGTCCCTCTTTTAACACTAAATTTACCCGCAAAAGAAAAGAAAAAAAAAATGAAAATACGACGACTACACTCGATGTGAAAAAAACGTACGACGCGACTTATGTACGTGGTACCATCAGCGTTCAAATCGAAATCAAGTGAAAGAGGAAAAGGGGAGTGAAAGAAAGAGACAAAAAATTGTACGTACATTTTTACGAAGTTATTTTCATCCCCTTTTCTTAACCCTTTTCCCTTTATCCTCCGTTTTCTTTCTTTTTTTATTTTCTTTGAAATGTTTATCGCAAAGGATAGACAAACACTGCGATTTCTGAGACAACATTATTGAATTTCATTGTCATTTTAACGACATTTTTATACAATAATAATTTCTGTGTATACCATGAAAAAAGATATATTATATTTAAAAAAATAAAAAGAAACAAAAATATATTATAATTACGTTTATACGTTAAATCTCGTTTCATTTGTATTTTCCCCTAGAAATAAATAATTCGAAGAATTATATTTGCCAAGTGTAATTAAATAAACAAGCATAGAATTTATCAATATTAACAAAATATTTCTTTATATGAACAGATTATTCTTATTATCTTTAATAACATCCATATACATGATGTATATTTAATTATTATTAATAAATTGTTATTTAAGGTGACTCTAAGGTTATCTTTTTCTACGAAAAAAAAAACGTATAAAAGGTATTATTTATATATGGTCTCTTATTATCGAAGAATTTAACCACCTTTGATCTATAAGTTTAAATTCAACGACTATGAAAAAAAGAACAAAAAAAAGAACTAACAACGATAACGTATCTTAACTTTAATACATCGTCCTCTTTATCCCTCCCCTTTTCCTGTTTTTCTTTTGATAAAAAAAAAACGCATTATCGTTTATACCAATCAAATTCGCGTAATTATCAATTTTCGATTTCTTTTTTTAACTATTTTTATGCTAATAACAGATAATTTTCTATAAAAATGCAAATCCGTATATATATATATATATATATAAAACGAAAGAATGTGAAAGAAAAATACGATTAAACGAAACAAATAAAAGTATGATATATATATACGAGTAAAAATGAAACCTTAAAATATTTTCTTTACGTTCTAGTTGAAGGAAAAGGATTTCGATCCTTTGTGGAAAAAGGAACGGAATCAAATTGACTTGTAAGAATCGTCGCTGGCGCAATGCGGAAAGCTCGAACACTCATTCCTTCTCTCTCTCTCTCTCTCTTTCTCTCTCATTCTCATTCTCTCCCTTTCCTTTCCCTCTTATTGTCACCTTTTATCATCAACTCGACGCATACATTTTTTTTTATCGGATAAAATAGATAAATTTTCGTCAAGATTGCAAATTTAGATAACAATAATAAATGTGTATTTATTGATTATCAGATAAAATGATCGTTACTATGTTACTAACTCGGTTAAATCCGATTAACGATATACGAATTAGCATAATTGATTCTGTTACTTTAATATTAAATGTAATTTCAAATGTGATACGTTTAACGATTATGATGTTATTGAACGAAATATAAAATGTATTTGTATTAGACAATTGGCAGAAGCCATTTATACTTCTTTAGACAGTATAGTAATGTCCCGCATAGCAACAAGGGTATCGCGAAGTAGTTGGAGTAAGCTTCGTCGATAAGTCGGAAGAAAGAACCCACGCGTACGTTCATCGAATGCAGAAAGGACCGTTAGATCCCCGTACATAAACGGAAAGTCGTACGACACATATATGAGATACGTATATATATATATATTGTATGTACATATGCTTAAATCTTCATTTTTAAATTACAACATCGCGTGTCTGTCATTACAATTGATTTAAGTTAGATCTTTGACTATGTTTTAATAATATATCATATTACCGTATTACCGTTATCAATTATATATATTTCCCGATAATAAATCTTTTATCCTGGTATTAAATAGGTATGTAAAATGTGCTGATTATTTTATTAATTTAATATTCTAATAATAATAAGAATAAATAATAATTAAAGTATAATATTTATCATCGATGTAATCCGAGGAATCAATAACTCGAATAATTGAATAACAATCAATTTATAACTTTTATCGAAAAGATGATTTTATAAATATATTTAATATATAATCCAGATTTAAAAGATTTATTAATTTATTCAAAAAGTAAAATATATGAAAAACAACTCTGATGATGACGTACCTTTGGCAAGACGGTTGAAAATAAGATCCTTATGTTGTGCGATATGGGGTTCGGGAAGCACCACGAGTAGGTAGCACCCACTTAAGGGTGATGGTGGTGGATGTTGTTGCTGCTGTGATCCTGGAGGCACTACGCTGCTTGTTATCGGTGTACTCGGTGTTGCATTTTGTTCAGCATTTGTGGAAGGTATTATTGCAGATTGCCCTCCCCCTCCTCCTCCTCCTCCTCCCCCCTCCCCAGCGGGATCCGCTGTACTCATAGCTGGAAATGTAATCAATTGATTTTAGACAATTTGTTTATAAATTAATCGAACAAAATAATAAATGATCCGAACAGGTAGTGAATAAAATTTATTACGTTTCTACACTCCCTCGCCCCCTCCCCACTCCACTTTATTTCTATTTTAATGATTTTTCGAACAATCCCATTCAACTCAACAAATGGGACAATTTGATTGCAAATGGGACGTTTGCGAAAGATAAAAATTAATATTCATTAACGAAATGTCATCATTCATTAATTTCTCAAATTCGTCATTTACCTTTTTTTATTTCCTTTTTATTCGTTTCCAATCAAGTCTCGGAATAAAACTGACACTGGTTCTAAAAAGCGAATAAGCAGACGTCCAGGAGGAACGAGAGACGAATTGGTCGATAAAACTTGCGATAAAACTGCTCGTAAAACGGCAAAGTTTATTCACCGATAATACCTCTTTCCTCTTTTCTTGGTTAGATCAAAGGATCTCAGACAGAAATATAACGAACGAAGCCGTTGTGGAAGAGAAGAGAAGAGAGAGTGTAACTTTTCCCTTAGACGGGACCTACAAGTTGGCGCAGTGGTAATTCACCCCTTCAATATTGACTGTGGCTCACTCTGGCGAGCATGACTATATTACCTGGTACACGCCTGATACTGGTTATAAGTTTTATAGGTTAGATATCCTATTTCCCTTATACCGGTGCATAATTTTCAACAAAAAAAATATATACTCTTGTATTGAGAAATTAAAATAAGAAAAAAAGAAATACTACAAAAAGTATATATGATATACATTTTTATATAGACGAGGGGGAAAAAACAAAAAAAAAACAGGAAATATTCAAATGATTATTTAAAGAATTTCGTGAAAGATGTTAAAATGGTTGTCAGTCGCGTCAGCTATAACTTCTCGGTTAAGCCGAACACCGATGAGGTTCCATCGAAACCTTACGAAAAGGCTCAACCTTTACACGAACGAATACCCGAAGAAAGAAAGAGTTAGTTTAAGTGAATCTAAATAAAAATTTACATTCCAGTTAACTTAGCCGGGTCTATCACTGTTTGCTATCGATAATATTAAATAGGCTAAGTCAATCCTCACTATTAAATAATATTAAAATGAAGATATATTCCTCAGGCTATTCGACTGATGATGTCGGCACACGGCATTGCGCAGGATTTACGCGAGACTCTAGCAAGGAGAAAGAGTTCGAGGAGTAGGTCCTATCGAGCCAATGCGCAGGATCCAAGCCGGTTCTCGGCAGGTTAGATCATTGATCCAAATTCTGACTGTGAGTATCATAATATTAACAAGGCCAGAAAAAGCTCTCGATTATTCACCTTCTCTGTCTGTCTATCCGGTATCTTTCTCTTTTTTTAATTCTTTTTTTCTTTTCAAAAAATCATTGTGACGTATGGAAACAAATAAATAATTGATTATATTAATACTTCGATATAGTATAAATGGTACACGATTGGTACTTGATCTTTTTACGTTTTAACAGCTAAAGAAATAATTCTATTGTACGTTCAATCGGACTTGATAGCAAAAAAAGGAAAATACACTGGAAATTCTATCGAGAATCACCACCGCAGTGCACACCCACCACCGGCAACCCCTCCCTTTAGACGCAATCCAGACGCAATTCAAATGTAACCCCTCGATAAAATCCATACGACCTATTCGCCGGAGGGAGAATTTTCCCCCCATGAGATAACCAAAAAAAAAAAAACAAAAAATAAACTTTAATCAACACTTTTTTTTCCTTTTTTCTTTTTTCTATTTTACTGACCTACGTCTTTTAACTTACGTATAGATATATATAACATACACTTCTTAAAATTATTCAGCAACACAGCACGCAAAATGAATGAAATGGAATCGTAAATGAATATACACGAAATTATTAAAATCCACTCACCTCAGTCACGTATCGCTCCTCCTTAATTCCAGGTTACCCGATGTATCCTGGAAGGTACTTCCTTCCAAAACAAAATATGAAAGATTACCACGATGACGATTAGAAACGAAAAGACTTCTTCAAAATCAGAAGCACCAGCTGGTGCTGCTTCTTCTTCTTCTTCTTCGATCGATCCTTACTTTTTGACGTTTGACAGGCCGTCGGTGTCGGTGCGAAGTGCAGAGACGTCAGGTGGCGCGAACGCGGGTCTCCTCTCTTCGTGTTGCACACGATTCCGTGCGTATATTATAATACGTGTTCTGTCTCTCTGTTTGCTGTTATCTGCTGTCTATATATATGTATGTGTATGTTTATACAGAGGAAGGAGAGAGAGAAAATCTGTGTTCGCGAGATACGAGAGAGAAGATTTTATTCAAATCTCAAAAAAAAGAAGAAAAAAAATAGAAAAAAATGTAATTGTGCCTTTGGATATCCTCGAATGAACAAGCTTCCCGTTAAACTCCTTCCTTATTATTATCACGATTCTATCTCGTTCTCTCTTTCTCTCTCTCTCTCTCTCTCTCTCTCTCTATCTCTCGCTAGCTCTCTCGTTTTCTATCTGTCCGTCTGTCTGGTCTGGCTCTTATTGTCGATAGCTTGAAAACGTTCGAACCAGCTCGGCAGCAGCTTTCGCGTTCGGGGCTGCCGGCTCTCTGACAGACGCTGCGGCCCCCTGCATCGTCCACACAGGAACCCCCACTTTTGCACCCCGAGAACTAACCCCACCATCGAGTAAGGAAGAACACGATTGGTCGAAGGAACCAGCCGGGTTCCTACCTACACCGTGCGTCGACGCTTTTTACACCAGCCGATCATATAGACACGGTGATATCTCGTAGGCTCGCTCTTTCTCATCTACTACACCAACACTATTATACTATTACTATTAATACTACGATACTATTATTACTACTACTACTACTACTATTACTACTACTACTACTACTACTACTACTATAACTAAAAGTAATATTCTTCGATGGTAGACTATTAGTGTGCATAAAATTTAAAGTTTGGTACCAAGAATCGGAGAAAGAGTTTGTATGCGTTCAGGAAATGTTACAAAATTATTTGATCGTCTAGATTGTACTAATTGTTTTTCCATTTAACTTGTTAAAGAGAAAAATAAAGAGAGAGAGAGAGAGAGAAAGAGAGAGAAAGGGGTTTTGAATTCAAACTCGATAGGAAAACTTGTTAAACTATTTCCGATATTTTCGTGATAATATCTTTTCTCAAGGAAATTAGAAATAAAAAAGAAACATCTGATTTTTATCACTAATCAGAATTAATTCTTCTTCGTGTAATCTCTTCCGTAGGTTGATAAAACGAGTCAAGTGTCCCTTGTGGATCAATGAAATATACGTATACGCGCTTTGCTACGGGCTCTCTACTGTATAATTATATCAGGTTAAAATTATTCCCCCGGAGACAGTGCCATTACCCTTAAAGATATAGTTCAATTCTGAACTTAGATAAGTAAGTATCATTTATTTTCAAGAAAGATGTTACAATTTATAATCAACGAAAATCGTAATCATGATTGTTGTATCACGATAATTTCCACCAATGAGATTCGTATTAATAATATTTGACAAAATTCTAACGGGAAATGTCTAAAAGACAAAAAAAATGAAAACTTATAAAATTGACGAATTTTGAGCTCCAATGCAACGAATCTTTCAAATATAAAGGAACCCTTGAAGTACTACCTCACATACGTACGTGGTTGCAATTAATTATGGATCAATTGCAAAGAGACCTCGAGGATCTTAGGAAAAGTTAAATAAAGTGTTCAAAGGCTGGGAAAAGGGATTGGGTTTCGTAAAAGATAAAGTTTTGAAAGACCTTTTTATTGTTCCCGAAGATCGATATCTTTGTCAGATATGGGGGAAAAACGAACGAAAAATATCTCGTCAAAAGTTTATCGATACTTTTGCGAATCCATCGATTTCGATTACCATCCACTTACCCACCTCCTCCACTTATCTAGTATAATTTGTTCGATAAAAAAAAAGAAAGGTAAAATAATAGAACGGGAAGAGAAGAAGAAAAAGCAAATTATCTTTTACAATTAATCGTGCTGTAAAAGTGAGAAAGAAAAAAATTCGCGCGAACGTAAGACGAACGTGCCGACGTTATGGCTATTTGTCGCAATGCGGTGAGCCTTGTCTTGCATTGTATAATCCTCTTTTACACTTCACCTTCCGTTCAAAGCATTGACCTCGCGAGTTAAATATCGCGAAATACGCTAGATTGAAATTCGTCAAGCTTAAATAAAAGGAAATACGTCTTTTATCGGTTTTATCCTTCGGAAAGCTTAGTCGTTGGAAAATTCCATCATGGATGACCAAATTCTTCTTCCTCTCTAGTCTCATTTCTTCCTCTTTTATAACTCTTGTTTCCTCGTTCTTTTTTTTTTGTATTTTTATTTTTATTTTTATTTTTTTTACATTTCAATCGGTCAAGCGAAAAGAAAAGAATCAAACAGAATATCAGAGGCCTTAAGGAATTTTTGAGCACCATGTATGGACGAATACGTGACTGACATATGAACGAGTTAATCTATTCGTTTGATGTACGTAAGACTTCCTGCCTCGGCCAAAATAACCAGCCGTATCGTCCCTCTCCCTCTCCCTTTCTCTCTCTCTCTCTCTCTCTCTCTCTCTATCTCTGTCTTTTATTCTTTTTTCTTTTCTATGCAGATACATATATGTCAAGAAAAATAAATAAAATCGAAATATTAACGAACTATTGTACGTATATTCGAAGACATTTTTGTATGTTCGTCTAAAATAAATCATTACTACTGAATCAAATGAAAAAGACTCTAATACTACTCGAGATAAATATACCTCGACAAAATACGATACTTATCTCTCTCTCTCTCTTTCTTTATCTTTTGGTATCATTATTTTTCTTGAATATTCATTTTTTATTTGTATATTCTATTCAATCACGAATCAATTATTTTACGAAACTCAAATCGTGTTTTCCTTAGAAATGTACCGTGTTTGTCTAAGATATAACCTATTACTACTTAATGCAAGGTTGAAAACGCAGACAAAAAATAGCTCGTAATTTTGCATTTCTATTTGCAAAATTCTACATAATTTTCTTTTTTTTTATCTATCCTACACCCTCCCCCTTTCCACCCCCCTAAAAATTAATAGAATAAAGCATACGATTGTTCTATCATTATTTTTGATTTCATATGCAATTCTGTATTAATGCATTTTTTGTTACATTAAAATTCAGTTCAATAATAGTCTTAAGAAAAAAAAAATGAGAACAGGAAAAAAAGGAATTTCAATATGTCGCAATTGTCCAATTCCGCGATATAACTGCGAACAGATGATTTCTAATGTCGCGAATAAGAGTGACGTCACGATTAAGGGTCCAATTTTCAATTACGTTGCTCGATTCATCCATCGATCGACCGTATTTCGTTTCGATTGCCGCAGTGTTTTCTCCTGGTGGCTAGTACCGTATTCTCATATCCTAGACCCGTCCCCTCCGCTTCTACGATTTTGACGCGGTGCCGAGGAGGCCGATCGATTTCAACAATAAACATTACTTCGGTTCTCTTTCCCTAAGTATTTTTTCCTAAATTAACTAGCCACGATCTTTTACCATAATTTTATTGTTGTTCATCGATGACGATTATCTGTAAAAATAAAAAAGAAACATCTTTGAACTTATCCAGCCCTGACGCGTTCGTTGATTTATTCGAAATAATAATTATTTAAAATATCTAGAACATTCTGACACAAAATTTGATTATTCTACTACGATTATAATTCTCCTTTTCTCTCTAATGATAAATCTTATAAAAAAAAAAATAAATAAAATAATTAAAATTAATTTGTGTAATGTAAATTACAAAATATTATATTTTAATCTCTTCGATATTTTATATCTCGAATAAAATTAAAATACAATCTGTGTGTGTGTGTGTGTAAAATGATGTATAGGAATTTTGGTCTACTGAATAAATTTGACAAATAACAAGGGGTGAATGCGCATAGGTGACGGCACTGAACATACTGCGCGGCGCTAGTATTGACCGGCGCCCCATACTAACCGTGTTGAGAACATCTGAAACTGAAGTATAGCGAAGTTCTCTCTACCTTTCTCTCTCTATCTATCTATCTATCTATCTAACTATCTATCTATCTACTATCTTAACCCCTCTTTCCCTCTTTCACCCTACTTGCAAAGTTAGAGAGACTTGCACTCATCTTTTGCGAAGGTACAAACAACGAGAGACGTCTTCTTAATCCTTGCACGCTCACGCGCACCTGTGCTGTGCGTAGCCCTCATTGAAATAAGGTAGACAAGATGACTATACTGTTATAACGACGACTATGACGAGTATGACAACGAAAAAGGACAGAAAAGTGATATATGCATTTCACGCACGTGTCAACCCTTTTCGTCGAGACTTACTACCCTCTTCTATGATTTTTTTAACACCCCTTCCTCCCTCTTCTATACAACAGTTAATTGCTAATTTTATTATATGCTTCTAATCTCCCTTCTATTTCTTCTCTCTCTCTCTCTCTTTCTCTTATGTATGAATATTATAAGAAAAGAAAAAAATATTACCAAATATTATTGCAATAATATTAAAGTGAACGAAAAGTTCATGAGTTTATTATTCTGTCGACACGGATAGCGGAATTTTGTTTGAAGTCAATAAAATTATTTCATAATATATACCGGTGAAATATTAATTTAAAAATTCACGAACTTTTCATTCGTCATAATAAAATTATTCAAATTTTTTGTTTATATTATACACGTTAAATATATTATTCGTAATTTTGTATTGGTAGTTATTCATATTTTTTTTTTCTTCTTTTTTTTGGTTTTGTTCTTTTTCCGTTTTCTCTCTCTTTTTTTTTAACTTCCTATTACGCATAGATATAATATGGTCTTCTATCTTTTTTTCATTTTTATCAGTCGATCGTTCTTCGATCAAGTCCAGCATACTCGCTACGGCACTGCCCACAACGATCGTTATATCCGCAATGGGATACGACGACGTATTGCACCACGTATCGGGGAACCTAAAATTTCTCTTCATCGTCGTTATTTCTTTCATCAATTGGTCAGAAATAAAGACACAAAAATAACAACAACAACAACAACAACATAAGAAATATCTGAAAATCATTCGATTATTATCGTATTATCGAGGTAATCATTTTAAACGTTTATTTTCTCGATTATTATTTCATTTATATTCCGAAGAGATTTTGTTGTTGTCCTCCTTCTTCTTCTTCTTCTCCTTCTTCTAGGGAAAAACTAAACGCATAAAAATGGTCGTCGGGTAAACGTATAACATTAATCGACGCTTTGAAGTTGTTGATTATTGGAGCGAGTAAATTTCAGCTCGACGGGGTTTTTTTTTTCTTCCAAAAGTCGAGCTTAAAACCGAGGAAAAACGAGATTTCGAGTCTTTAAAATTTTATTTGTTCGTTTATTTTTTTTTTCTTTCTTTCTTTTTTTCTTTTAACTACAACAACAACAAAAATAACAGGAAAAAAAATAAGAAGTATTCGTTAGCATATAATATACCTTTCGAGTGTCTTACCAGTGAACTTGATATTTCGCACGTGCGACGAATAAATTTTCATCGTTGTGCGTACCACAAACCAGAGTCCTTTATCT